CACCGCGGCGGGCTGCGCCGCGCGTGGCCTCGCGGACGATCCGCCGAGCGGCCCCTGCAGCGCCTGCGGCGCGGCGCTCGCGGCCAAGCGCGAGGAGGCGCTGCTGGACTTGGAGGCGCAGCGCGGCGACTGCCCCCGGATGCTGGCGGGTGTGGCCGTCCGCTACAGTGTCCCGGGGGAAGCGCGCGCCATGGCGGCGGCCGCGGACGCGGACGGCGCAGTGGCCGCGGAGGGGGAGGCGGACAAGCGCCGCCGCTACCCAGAGCGGCGCGCTCCCTGGCCGCTGCTCCCGCTGGCCCACGAGACAGGGGGCCGCCTGGGTAAAACCGCCTTGCGCCGCTCGCGCGGGACCGAGCCCAGGCTCTCGGCGACGGGCCGGCCGCTGAGGCCGCCGCAGGCGCGCTGGCCCGCCGCTGGGGCGCGGTGCTCAGCTGCGCGCCGCGCCGCGCGACAGCGCGGCAGCTGCGGAGCGCGCTCGGCCAGGAGCGCGCGCTTGCTGCCCGCGCCGCGCTGGCGGCCGAGCTGGCCGGCTGGCGGCCCTGGTGACGCGGAGTCCTACCGGTCCGCGAAGATGCTCTTCTGGTTCGTGTCGGCGTTCGAAGAGTTCAGTGGTGGGGGCGTGCGCGTTGCACAGACTCGTCGCTGCGTCAGGGAGAGGAGGGAGAGGAAGAGGAGGAGGAGGAGGAGGACCAGCACGAACCCAATACTCATCCACGATATTGCAAGGAATCCTTTCCGAAAGTGTCAGGGAAGAGCCCCATTGGAAGACAACCGTGTGAGTTTCCGGAACTGAGCCAGAGAACCATTCTTGGCAATTCAATTCCGCGAAACAGATTCTGGATGATCTTGAAGCGTGCCAAATCATCATGTTTGGGATTTCAACGCCGGGAATCAACATGACTGTTGCGCCCTGACGTTCCGACATCGTACCCAAACACCGTTTTCACACGAGTGTGCGTGGCGCCAGTGCGAAAGACAGATTTTGATAAGGAGTCGGCTCCCATAGTCAAGTTGTTGCATTATTTGATGACAAATGTGCGCGGCGCTAAGAGGAGAGCCAGATTTTGAAAACCGCCTGCCCTCCATCCGTGAAGCTGTCGCAGTTTTTGAGATGAATGCAACCCGCCCCCCGTCCGCGAAGTCGTTGCACATTCGAAGCCTCGGGATCGGTAGTGGTGGAGAAATTTCAGGCGACAGGTCCGGCCCGCCTTTTTGATTGGCCTCGGAGCGCAACATGGAGGAGTGATTCGTAAGGAAAAGGAATGGAGGAACATGGGACGGGGGTGGTCACGATGGGGAGGAAGAAGGGGATGGGCGAGACGGGGAGGAGGGAGGGGGGAAGGGTACATGACGGCGGGACGAAGGCGGGGAGGAACTGGAGGAAGATAGTGAGAAGGTGGAGCTAGATTTGTCGGGGTCTGGTGGGTTCGGGTGGAGCCGCGCACATAGCCGTAATGCAGTCGCAGAGGGCGTTCAGGGGATCGCTCATTATCGTGCCCCTTCCTCCTCTTTTCCTCATCTTTTCTCCAAGGGTATGCGTTCCAACTATACATGCAGGACCATATGATGATGCGGATGATGATGGTGATCTGATGGTGATGGTGATGATCATGGTGATGTTGATGATGCTGCGGGTGCTGCTGATGATATTGATGCTGAGGATGGATATGAAGGTGGGGATGCTACTGGTGCGGCTGATGATAATGCTGATCACGATGATGATGATGATGATGATGATGATGATGATGATGATGATGATGATGATGATGATGATGATGATGATGATGATGATGATGATGATGATGATGATGATGATGATGATGATGATGATGATGATGATGCTTATGATCGTGATGGTGATGATGCTGGTGACGATGATGGTGATGATGGTGATGATGATAATACTGATCATGATGCTGTTGGTGGTGATGATTCTGATGATGATGATGAAGAAGAAGAAGAGGAGGAGGAGGAAAAAGTACGGATGGGAGGAGGATGGGAATGGCGGTTTTGACCTCCAGTCCGATGGTGTTCATTTTTCGTGGATGTTTTTCCGCCATCGCTGATTATTCTTTCGATTTCTGAATTTTTTAAGTATGACAAGGCAGGATGATGAGCATGATGAGGTGGAGGATGACTTGAGGGATCAGGTGGGGAGGGAGAAAAATGAGGAGGCGGAGGAGGAGGCCTGGAAGGAGGAAGAGGAGGAAGGATGAACAAAGTGATGAGGGGATCGGCGACGCAGTGGAGGAGGAGGAGGAGGAGGAGGAGGAGGAGGAGGAGGAGGGCTGGTATTTAGGAAGAGACCTGGCAGCAACGGAGGACCGGAGCCGCCGATGCCGACACGACGTCGACGACCGACGACGACGGCCAGCGACCGAAGACGACCGAGGGCGACCAACGCTGCCGACGCCGAGGTCACCCCCCGCCTCAAAAACCGAGCCTCGGACCTCTCCTGGGTCTCGGCATCGCTCGGACGTGTGCATGTTTTCTCGGCGGAGACTGTCGAGGAGCATTTTGGGCCTCCTCGCGAAAAAGCGCACACGCGAGAGATCGCACAACGCACGGAGAATGCACGTCCGAGCGACGCCGGGGGGTTGCGTCTGGCGGCCGGGATCAGCGAGGCGAGCCTCCTGACCTGGCGGCGACGACGGCCCCTATGTAACTGGCGACGACGGCTGGCGACGACGACGGCTGAGAGCGCCAGGCCAGGAATGCTCGAGTCTCGAGGTTCGCATTTCAAGTTTCGCCGTTCAAGTTTCGAGTTGCGAGGTTCGCGTCTCGAGGTTCGAGGTTCGAGTTTCGAATTTCGAGTTTCGAGGTTCGAGTTTCGCGGTTCGAGATTCGCGGTTCGCGGTTCGAGGTTCCAGGTTCGAGTCCCGTGGTTCGAGGTTCGAGATTCGAGGTTAGAGTCCCGAGGTTCGAGTTTCGAGGTTCGAGGTTCGAGTTCCGCGGTTCGAGTTTCGAGGTGTTCGGACGGTCTCGTTTGGTGTCGGCGATTCCCAGCCTCGGGAGGCTGTCTCCAGCCGCTGCGCCTCACCGAGAGCGTCGTAAAAGGGGTGTCCAGTTCGACCCGAACGGCCGTCCGAGCCCGCAGCTGTGCCCCGACAACCAAAAAGGGCAACGTCGGTGGCGATAGGCTCAAGGAAGATTGCGTCGGCCGCCAATCTCAGGCGATCGCAAACATGGATCAAGGGGGCGTGCATTAGCGACGGGTCCGGTTTCCATGGGAGATCGCGGATCTCCGCCGCCGAACGAGGCGGCACCGGCTGCATTTTGGGCAGGGCACCTCCCCCGACCCACGGGTTTGGCGGCCGCGCACCAACGCTAATCCATGTTTGCGCGCCCTCGACAATCGCCCATTCATCGCCGACAGGGGCCCGATAGAGTCCAGGTCGATCTTTCCTTAGCCAGTCACGCCTTCCCCTCACGCGTCCACGAGGGGGGTGAGGACGAGAGGGGGAGTAAGATCATGGCCAGGGCCATGGAATCTGCTAGATTTCATGGCCCCCTCTTTCTCCTTCTTTCATTACGTTTCCTGGGCGCACCTGCGTCCAGCACCGATCCAAGAACTCTGTGCGGACCTCCAGAAGTTTAAGTTGATTCACGCTTTTGATCCAGGCCAGCGACGAGCGACGACGATGCCGACGTCGGACGGCGCCCGACGACGTTGCCGACGACTATGATGAACGACCGACGACGACGCCGCCGACGACGAGCGTCGACGACGCTGACAAGCGACGACGAGCGATCATGCTGGCGACGACCCGCGACGTTGAAGCGGCCGACGACGACGACGACGGCCGACGCTGCCGAACGAGTCGGCTACGCGCAAGAGTAACCTTTCGCCGGAGTGACCTCTGGTGCGGGCCCGCAGAGGTCTCCCCAGCACTGGTCTGCACGTGTGGGTTGTCGGCGTTCCCGCGGCCCATTTGAGCCGCGCACTGCGGGTCATTCTTGCAGGGGATCGCTCTTGCGTGTATCAGGCGATCGCAAACATGGATTTGGCGACCGCGCGCCAAATCCACGGATCGCTAATCCATGTTTGCGCGCGCCCGAGTGTAGACGAACGACGCACGAGCGGCTGAGCGACGACTGCCCTCAGGCCGCTGCCCTTTAGCTGCACACCGGTCGGCCTGGCCGCCGCCGCGGACGCGGAGGTGCGGGCCGCGGCGCCGTCGGCGGGGCGGCGCGAAGTGGTGGTGCCCGTGGGGCTGCCGGACGAGGGCACTTTCGACTGGCTGGACCAGTTCTCGCCATGAAGACCAGGGGTCAGATTCGGTGGCAAATCATGGGAGCCTTGTACGCCCTCAACTTCCGTCGCTAGCGTCGGCTAGCGTCGATTAGCGGCAGGTAGTCGATGGGATAGCGCCGATTTAGCGTCGGTCAGCATCTATTTAGCGTCGACTAGCGTCGACCAGCGTCGATTCGCAACAGCCTGCGTACAATATGGTATAGGAGGTTCCCATGAGTTGCCACAAAAGGTCAGAGGAGGAAAAGGTAGCCGTACCGCTACCCTTGCATTGTTTTCGCTTTTTTGGGCCTCCTGGAAGCCCCTCGGCGTCACCGGTGGATCCGCCTCGAACTTTTCTCATAATGCGCTCACGGAGAGGCCCGGGGAGTAGCGGTATTGGTACCTGTTGTGTTCCCCCAGAGCGGCAGCGATAGGGGGGGGGGCAGTTTTTCCGGAAGTGCTCCGACAGTCTTCGAGGTCAGGGGTGGCTTCCATCAGCGCCTCGTCGAGAGCGCTCCGGGGGCGCCGGAAGCGTCCCGAGGGGCCGCTGGAAACCCGAGGTAGATGGCCCGAGGCAACAGGGAGCGGACGGTCTAGGGCAACGACAGGGGGGGTGGTATACTGTACCCCCCCCCCCCCCTGTCGTTGCCCTCCGTAATAGGCTCGGGGGGGGAACGGATCGACCCCGAGTCGCCCAGTCGTCGCCGGTAGGGGCCTGATGTCCCACCCCGCCCAGGAGCGCGCGGTTTCGCTGTGGACGGCCTGTCCGCGATCTATCGGCGATGCCTCTTCGATCCCAGGGCGATGTTTCCCCTCCCGAGCCAGACTCGCCCGAGAGTTTCCTCTCACGTGAAGACCCTGACCTCCGACGTCTTGTAGCAGGAATCAGGGCAGGAGTGTCTCACTGTCTGTTCTGCCTCCGAGGACCGTCAAACAGCATGAGGGGGATACGTCCCCATTCCTCGGTTCGGCCACTTCTCGGGAAACCCTTTTTGGATTCATCAGGCCCCCCAAGCGTTTGGGCGGCGCGCCCCGCGAGTAAACGCATTCAATTTGTTTTTGACATACCCACCCCCAACGGAGGAAGTCGCCGCGGAGTGGTGGCCTGTTTGGATTGATGTTCGGACCCTCCCCCCGCCAGACAGACAATTTTGGGGAACCGTCTCCCGCGGTCAATGTTAGAAATCTACCCACCCTGCCACGCCTGTCAGGCCAGCAAGCTCGCGGAATCCATGGCGCCTGGACGTGGCAGTTCTCGGGTGACACATCCGTAGGTGGGTCACCAGTGAGATCCGTTGATTTGAGCGTGTTATATCAAAAACTTGTTGCGTGAGATTGTGTCGCTTCATGCCGAGGACCAGGCTGCAGGACCGGACTGTAAGTGAAACAAGTGGTTTTCACCAACCAGTTTTCGGGTGACCCACCCGTCGTCCGCCTGTGGGTCACCCGTGGCCCCTCATCATTCGTAGTTGTCCAGGTCTCTGCTGCTGCCGCCGCCGGTGTGTACACTGGCAGTGTTGCACACAAGCATTGTGGTGTACGCAGGCAGATGTGCACGCAGGCCGCCTGGCGCATAGGGGCGGTATACGGTGCAGAAGCATTATGGTGCGCATAGGCGCAGTCGCGTACACTTTTGCTGCTGCAGCGGCTGTGGCGCACGCAGGCATCACAGGCACGGCGATTCGTGCTGTTTCTGGGGTGGCACGTGGCACCGTGCGTTGTCTTACAATGTATGGCCCCGTGTTAGCGCTCAGGATGCAAGTGGAACAAAGGAATGTTTCCTACTAGTTTTCGAGGGACAGGTGTCACCCCTGTGCTTTCCTACCATGTATGGCCCCGTGCGGACGCTCAGATTACACGCGAAACGTTTTGACGTTTCTGACACAGTTTTCGGGGAGACACGTATCCCCCCGTGTTACCCCACAATGTACGGCCCCAGGTTGACGCTTACAATAAGAGTGGGAAGTCTGGCTTTTCTAACACAGTGTTCGGGATAACGGGTGTCACCCGTGTTTTTTGTACTCTGCGACCATATGTGGGCGCCCAAAGCTCAATTGGCACAACTGTTTTCACCACGCAGTTTTCGAGGTGACACGTGTCACCCCAGTGCTTTTTTTCCATACGTATGACCCCACGATGACGCTCATATTGCAAGTCAGACGATTGGTTGGCCTCACACAATGTTCGGGTTGGCATGTGCCACCCCTTTGCTTGCCCAAACTGTATACCCGCATAAGTTTTGGCAGCCAGAGTGCAAGTGAGCTCGCTGGTTTGTCTTACGCAGTTCTCGAGGTCATACGTGATGTATGACCCCGTGCCGATGTCCAGAATGCAGACCGGACCATGATTTCTCATTGACAGAATTTGCGGCGTTGTCATCATTCGTGGTGGTGGTCGTCGTCGTCGGCTGCGGCGGGCGCTCGCAGCTGTTTTCGGGGTGAACGCGGGAAAGCGCTTGCTCAAGCCACCCCGGTCCGTGCCGTGGAAGCGATGCCAGGGAATCGTTGGGGCCCGCTCCCGCCCGCCGCTTTGTCGGACCCTTGCATCTTTGCCCAGGGTGCGTTGGGAGTCCTTGTTGACGTTTTTTTTTTTGTTTTAGTTACCCGCCCCGTCGCGGACCGCCTCGTCCTGGGGGAATGTGCCCGAATCGACCGGCCATTGCCCACCCCAGGCCAGGAGGTTGGTTCGGGTGATTTGCGAAAGCGCCCTTGTTGACCAACTGCCCCGGGGAAGAGTTTAGTGATGTATTATCATAGGGTTGGTTTATACTTGTGCGCTTTTTTTGTAGCGCCCGTTTCTCGCGACACGGGGTGTTGTTTCTTCCGATTACCCTTGTCAGCAAAACGACTCGGGATGAAAAGGCGGTCCTGGGGAAAAGGGTCCAAGACCAATAACGAGATCGTCCAGCGAACGTCGACACGACACATCCAACTCGCGCCCGCACGGAACAACAAGGATTTCTTCTGCCTCCTCCTCCCCCTCCTCCTCCTCCTCCTCCTTCTCCTCCTCCTCCTCCTCCTCCTCCATGATCGCATCATCGCTTTTTACTTATCTTGTGCTGCATGTGTCCAGACACGTCTGAGTCCAGAGACCACGGTCTCACCCATCTCTTCTGAGCTGGGCCCGGAAGCTGCCCGCAGCGGCGGTCCTGTCTTATCGTATCGTATCGTGTCGGGACTTCGGGGCCCGAGTTGGAAAAAACAGCAAGTCGGATCTCTGGGTTCTCGCTGTGAGGAGGTCAGTCGGCGGCCAGCGAGGGGTGGAAGTACGAAGGAGAAAGTTCTCAGAAGGCGGCGGGACTTCCCAGAAGCCCTCGCGCCTTCGGAGAGGTTTCTGTGGCTTTGGGGACGGCTTCGACAACTTCTCAGACGGCCGGGGGGCTTCCGAGCCTTCTGAGAAGGCCCGCCTCTTCGCACTTCGCCCCTGGGCTCGCCGCCGAGTCAGCGAGCGTCCGAGGGTCGTAGCTCCGGGGACAGGTCCAAAGGGGGGGATTCGTCCGCCATCGACCACCTGGGACTGGTTCTCGCTTCCTCGGTCGTCGTTCGTCGTGCTCGTCGTGCTCGTCGTGCTGGGGGCCTTATTTTTTTTCTCTGTTTGGGGCCTCCTGCGGGCTTCTCAGGCATTATTGGCCGTCTTGGTGCGGTTTTTTGGAGGCTCCCTTGGGACGCCTTGACGCTCTCTGGGCAGTCTTGGGGCTTCTGTGGCCGTCTTGGGCCTCGCAAGGGGTCCTCTTTGACCGTCTTGAGGCCTTGCTGGCGCTTCTTGGCCCGTCTTGGAGCCCCCCTCGACTGTTCTTGAGCCCTCTGAAGCTCTCCCAGAGCCACCGCGTGCAGAAGAGCCTGAAAAGCAAAGCGCGCCAGCGCGTGGACCCCAACCAGCAGGCTCTTGCACCCCCGATGTGCGAGTTGTGTGCCGACCATGGCCCCACTGCTGCCCTGCGTGGCCCCGCCGTCGCCACTCGTGGCCCCCTCGCTTCCCTCCGTGGCCCCATTGCTGCCCACGGTGGCCCCCTCGCTGCCCTTCATGGCCCCGCGTACGGCCTGCATGCCCCCCTGCTCGCTCCTACCCTCAGTGGCCCCGGTGCTGCCCTTCGTGGCCCCGCTGTTGCCCTCCGTGCCTTTCGCGGCCCCGTCGTTGCCCTCGTCGCCTCTCTCCTCGATGCCTCTCGTGGCCACGCTGTTCCAGCCCACATCGTTGACCTTCGTGGCCACGCGGTCGCTCTTTGTGGCCCCGTCGCCCATTGATGCCCTTCGTGGCCCCCTTTCAATTGAAGTGCCCCCCCCTGGTGCTCGTTTTTGTTTTTTCTGTTTTCGTTTTAGTATTATCAGGGAGAGTATTGCGTCGTCTCAGACTGCGCCCTGGGCTGCCCGTTTACAACAACAGCGGTTCCCGCCTAAGACCTTATGTAATTTAGTCAAAATCGCGCTCTCGCATGGGAAATCACCCCTCACTTTACTCAGAAATCGCGCTCTCGCCTAGGACTTCCTTGCAATGTCTAAGGCGCTGCGCTTTCGACGTTCAGGAATCGCGCTCTCGCCCGAGACCTCACATATTGCTCAGGACTCGTGCTCTCGCCTGAGGCGCTTTCACAACTTACGAAATTCGTTTCGATGCCCCGCCCGCTTGACCTGCCCGTGAGGGCCCGCCCGCCCGACCCGCCCGTAAGGGTCCGCCCGCCCAAACCGCCTGTTAGGGTCCCCCCCCCTTTTGCCTGCTTGGATGTCCGTCCGCTTCGATTGCCCGCCCGACCCGCCCGTTCGGGTCCGCCCCTCCGTCCCGCCCGTTGGGGCCGGCCCGCCCGTCAGGGTCCGCTTGCCAAGATCATTGCTCCTCTCTCGCCCCCCCTTCTGCTCATTCTCCGTAGCCCCCAATCCTGCTCCCTTCCTGTTGCTCACTGCCGCTCTCGTTTCTTCCTCCTCCTCCTCCTCCTCCTTCCCTTGCTCTCTCTCTCTCTCTCTCTCCTCCTCCTCCTCCTCCTCCTCCTCCTCCTCCTCCTCCTCCTCGTCCTCCTCCTCCTCCTCCTCCTCCTCCTCGTTTCCTCCTCGTTCTCGTTTCCTCCTCCTCAGGCTCCTCCTCCGCCTCCTCCTCCTCCTTTTCCCTCCTCCTCCTCCTCCTTGTATGTTCAAGGCCGCGCCGAGTACACGCGGCAGGCAAGGACGGTTCTACAAGCTTACGCCACATCCGCCGACCCCTTTGCTCTTGTCCGTGGCCTTGCACCGAAGGGCTTCCGGCCTGTCCAGCGAGCGTGTGTGGGTGTCGGGTCAGAGTCTGCAGGGATGTTTCTTGGAATCCGGGGCGCTTTCGGGGAGCTCTTGGGGGCCTCTTGGGCCCTCCAGGGGCTCATCGAAGTCAGGGATCGAGGAAGGGGCCCGCGCCGATCCACAGCCTGCTCGGACCTTCGAAAGTCCATGCCTAGCCTTATGATGTTCCAACCCATTTTTGCTTGGATGGCCAGAACAAATTTCGAGCACCAAGGGAATACCGAATCTGGAGGGTTTTCCAGTGTCGGGCCCTGGGGGGCGATGCTCGTTCGACACTTCACTGGCGTGTCGGACCGACACTGTTTCGTTTTTTTTTGTTGGGTGCTCGGAGTTATTGGTGGGAGGCGGTCCTTGAGTACGATGGGACCAACATAAGCCTAGCCGATGTTTGCCTTCGGCTCTCAGGTTCCTGGCCAAGAACCCGGGCTACACGGAGATCAGCGATCGGGCCGTGCTCGAGTGGGCCAGGGAGAGTGGCCTCGTCCGCCCGGGGGGGGCGGCCAAGTGGTCCAGCAACGACAGGCGCGGGCCTCTTTTGCTCTGGGAGAGGCGGGTGGTGTAACGGGGGTGTCCGAGGATCGGTCGGTCCGGCTGCGTCGTACTCGGTCGCGCTCGCCCAGGCCTGTGCGGTCGGATGTCGTGTCGTTGTTGTGGTGTCGCTGCGCCCTTCCAGGCTGTTTGCGGTCTGTCGGTTTCGAGTTTGCCATCGGGTTTGGTCGGTATTCGGGTGCGCTGTCGCCGTGGGCGGCCTGAAGGAGAAGGGGGCCGTGCTTTGTTTTCTTCTGTTGTCCCTCTGGGGTGAAGGAGGAAGATGAGGGTTTTGGGAGGAGGAGGAGGAGGAGGACGGTTTTAGGAGGAGGAGGAGGAGGAGGAAGGCAGCCAGGCGTAATTTGCTGACTGTCTTTGGCCATTTTTTAGTGCCATTTCAGAACGCTTCGAGCAACCTTAAAAAGGAGGAGGAGAAGGTGGAGGAGAAGCAGGAGGAGGAGGATGTTGTGCTCATACTTTCTTTTTTCCTCTTGGGGGGCCGGGTTGGGGGGCTTCCAAATGGCTTCCCGATGGGCCTCGCGGCCACGTCCAGGACCCGCTTCTAAATCCTGGCAAGAGCACGCGCTGGTTTGGGCTTTGACTTCGAGGCTTGAATTCGAGCGAGGGGGAACCATCACAATAAGGACGCCAATGAAAGGACCAGGAGGAGGGGGAAGAGGAGAAGGAGGAGCAGGAAGAGGCGAATGAAAGCCTTCTCCTCCCCTTCCTCCGCCTCCACCTTGCCCTCCTGGTCCTCCTCCTCAAGCCTCTCCTCCTGAAGCCTCTCCACGTTCTGGTCCTGGCAGCGACAGGCCAGACTCGAATTTTGGCCTCCCGCTCATGGACGACCGCAGCATCCAGAGGGTGATCACCACGCTTGCGCCGGTCCTCGACAGGAACTTCGTAGTCATGGAGGTGACGGAGGAGTAATACATTGCACTCTTTCCAAGATGGGCCGGTGTGATACGGGTGCGAATCCGAAGCAGGACCATCCGTGATTGCGCAGTGCCGTGAGCTGAAGGGAAGGGGTTCGGGCAAGGAACAGCACGACACACACAAACGCTCAACACACGTTCGAAGGTCCGCGCGGGTTTCTTGGGTCGGCGCTGCTCCACCCCAACCCCCTCGGCGTTGCCTTTGGCGCGCCCCCCCGGCGCGCTTCCCGCGCTGGGGGAAGCGTCCAGCGCCGACCCCAGAAATCCGCGCGGACCTCCGAAAGTTTGAGTTTGTGTTCTTGTTTCTTCGAGGTGAGGGACAATCTCTTGGCCGAGGGCAGGAAGACCGTTCTCGACAGGTTCGCAGGCTTCAAGAAGGTCGCCCAGGTTGTCGTCGGGGAGCCTCCAGAGGAGTTCAAGCAGGGTATCCAGAAGGCTATGCTGGCGGAGAAGACAGCAATCGAGAAGAGAAAAGTGCAAGCCAAGAAGGCGGAGGCGGCGAGGAAGAAGGCCGAGGAGGAGCGGAAAAAGAAGGCCGAAGAGGACAGGAAGAAGAGGCTCGAGGCCGCTAAGAAGAAGAAGGAGGGCGGGGACGAGAAGAAGGCAGACGAGGAGAAGAAGGAGGAGGAGGCAGTGGAGGAGGAGCCCAAGAAGGAGGAAGAGAAGGAGGAGGAGATCGTGGTCGAGCTGACGGATGAGGAGAAGAAACTCACTTTTCGGAAGAAGGCCTCGCCAGACCTGCAGCAGAAGGTCCTGACACTGGCCTATGCAAAGTTCACCCTTCCAGAGGCCGACGAGGGCTTCGACGATATCCAATACGCGTGGCAGTCCGAGTCCGAGTGCAAGGAGTACATGAAGAAGTGGGTCTTGGAGAGGAAGATGACCCAGCGCGTGGAGGAGCAGCAGCCTTCCGAGTCGTGCAGTGTTGTCCTCTCCCCCTTGCTCTGTCCTCTCTCCTCGCTCCTCTTCCTCTCTGCTCTCTGTACCCTGCCCTCGGCTCCACTCTCTACTCGGCCCCCCTCCCATGTCTGCTTCCCAGACCCCTGTCTCCTCTTTTCCACCCCGCCCCTCTTCTGTATCCCCTCCTCTTTTTTCTCTCCCGCTTTGTATGTATATCTATTCCTCGTTCTCTCGAACGAGTTGTGGATTCGAGTATATATATATATATATATATATATATTCTTGCATGTACAGAATATGCAATGCATGGGATGCCAGAGGGCGGGGTTGGACAAGAATCTCGAGACGAAGCCCGCCTTGGCTACGAATAGCGCCTCGGAGGCGGAAAGGAGGTTCACCCGTTTGCGGAAAGGGGGTCATCTAGTTAGCTAGAACTTGAGCGCGCGCGAAGCGCGCGCGATGGTTCTAGTATATATATATATATATATATATATGCCCATTCACAGTTTTACGGTTTTTGTCTTGAGCGCGGGAGGAGTTGCAGCCGTCCGAGTGGTTCAAGGGCAAGTGGGCCGAGTGGCAGAAGATCCTCGGCTCGTGGAAGAAGAAGCACGGCGAGTGGAAGGCCCCAGGATGGCCCAGCTCGGCCCAACATGGCTCGACTCCGTGTTTCTGGCGTCCAGCACAGCCCAGGACGACACCAGCACCCCCGACCACGACGGGGGGGCGAAGGGGTGCCGCGGCTAGGGAGTGGGATTTTTGGCGGCCTCCGAAATCTCCCCCCCCCCCCCCCCGCTCTCCGTCTCTTCCCCTGTGCCAGGGATGCGCTCGGGTGCCGCCGTCGGGGTCGGGGATGGCACTTCGAGTCGTGGGTCCAGAAGTATCGGCAGGACGGCCGCTTTATCCGAATGTGGGCATCTGCAGTGGAGGCCCTGCTCGGGCCCTGGGGCCCTCACGCCAAGGCCGCCCGTCGCGAGGTCTACGCCAGAGTTCGGGTGGCGAGCTCCAGAGCTTCGCACGCGGAGAACGCAAGGCGTCGCAGACGTCGGGGAATCGCCATCAGAGGTTGCAAGTCGCTACAGGAGCGCCCAGTTTGGCCGAACATCAGTTCAGCACGTCCCTGAGAGGCCGTGCTGAGGCAGTTGAAGGACTGGATCAACGACGCGGACCCCAAGAGCAAGGCAACTGCGCTGGCCAAGAAGAAGGCGGAAGATGCCAAGAAGAAAAAGACTGCCGAGAAGAAGGCCTTACCGTAGCTCCTGCTTTTTCCTATTCATGTCTTCTCTTTCTTGTCTTACTTATCCTATCCTTCAGGACGGCGAGGAAAAGAGTGAGGAGAAAGAGCCCGAGCCGGAGGAGGAAGAGCGGAACATGGACATCGACGCGGAGGATTTGGACGTGTTCGCCGTGGAGGACTCATCCTCGTCCTCTTCCTCCTTCTGCTCTCTATCTCTCCGCCCTCACTCCCCCCTCTTCTCTCAACGTTCGCCGCGGAGGACGTGACGGACATCGGCAACGGTGAGCCATTGTTTGCCAATTTTGTGTACGAGGACTGGACGCTCCTCAGCCTCCGCTTCGAGCTCCACCTCTTGGCGCACGCGTTCAAGCACGACCTGGCCGATCCGGAGAGGCCGACTTTCCACCAGCAGCACCTTGCGTACTACTACAACAAGTACTACAAGAAGCCGTTCAGCCTCAAGAGCTTCGGGGTGGAGGAGCTGAAGGACCTCGTGGAGATGGTCAAGGACCACAGCTCAGCATCGTCTAACCCATTCCCATTGGGCCATTCTATTTCAGCCCCAGCAGCCCTCCCTCCTAGGTGGGATTGGCCCCGCGACTCTGGCTGGAACAGGCACGTAGACCCACATGTATGGGTAAGTCGGCCAGTGAGGCCAACGCCACTCCAGTGGGGATTGGGATCTGTCAGGCAATGCCCAATAGTGTTTCCAGACACACTTACACACACTTACACACACTTACACGCACGCACACGCACACGCACACGCACACGCACACGCACACGCACACGCACACGCACACGCACACGCACACGCGCACGCGCACGCGCACGCGCACGCGCACGCACACGCACCCGCACACGCACCCGCACACACCGCACACGCACACGCACACGCACACGCACACGCACACGCACACGCACACGCACACGCACACGCACACGCACACGCACACGCACACGCACACGCACACGCACACGCACACGCACACGCACACGCACACGCACACGCACACGCACACGCACACGCACACGCACACGCACACGCACACGCACACGCACACGCACACGCACACGCACACGCACACGCACACGCACACGCACACGCACACGCACACGCGCACACGCACACGCACACGCTCACGCACACGCTCACGCACGCGCACACGCACACGCACACGTTCACGTTCACGCACACACTCACGTACACGCACACGCACACTTACACGCACACGCACACGCACACGCACACGCACACGCACACGCACACGCACACGCGCACGCGCACGCACACGCACACGCACACCCACACCCACAACCACAGCCACAACCACAACCACAACCACAACCACAACCACAACCACAACCACAGCCACAACCACAACCACAGCAGCAACCACAGCCACACCACAACCCCAACCACAACCACGACCACGACCACAACCACAACCACAACCACAACCACAAACACAAGCACAACCACATCCACAACCACAGCCACAAGCACAAGCACAAGCACAAGCACAAGCACAAGCACAAGCACAACCACAACCACAACCACAGCCACAACCACAACCACAACCACAACCACAACCACAACCACAACCACAACCACAACCACAACCACAACCACGCCCACGCCCACGCCCACACCCGCACCCGCACCCGCACCCACGCCCACACCCACACCCTCTACCCCCTACCCCTTACGCCCTGCGCCCTACGCCCACGCACACGCACACGCACACGCACACGCATGCGCGCGCACGCCACCACCACCAGCACGGCGACCAGCACCTCCACCACCACGAGGGCGACCAGGGGCAGCAATGCGACCAGCAGCACCACGACAACTACTACAACAACTGCAAAAACAAGCGCACCACCACCACCACGCCTACGACCAGCAGCGCCACCACCACCAGCACGGCGACCAGCACCACCACCACCACGACGGCGTCCAGGGGCAGCACAAGGACGAACTCTGTTATGTTTGTTTGAGTCTTCCGTCGTTGTTTTTTTTTCCCGGACGCGTTTCGATGAAGTTTGATTCGATTTGTCTTTGATTTCGGATAGAACCAAAGCGCGCGCGAATCGCGCGCGCGATGGTTCTAGTATGTATAGATCTGTAAATGCATATATAACTACACATTTATTTATATATATATATATATATCATGTTTCGCCCTCTCTCTCTCTCCATTTCCCTGTCCTCATTCGCTGCGCCAACCTATCGAGATAGTTGGTAATGTGCTCGTCGGTTCGGCTGCTGATGTCGCGATTATCTTTTGGTGACGCGCGCATTTGCAACTTGTTGCGTATCTTCTAGCAGCGCACGGCGTAGCAGTGCTGCGTGCAGCCTCGTTGTACTTATATAGGGGCGTGGAATGTGGTACTTCGCAGGGGGGGCGCCCTCCGCGCCGATGGGAACCCGCTCTTGCCGTGGTCCTCGTCCGGGGTCGCGCTTCTGCCAGGCTGTAAAAAAACGTCTCAACCAGCGTTGGGCTGACTTCGCCTGGCAGCAGTCGCGGGACGGAGCACGCCGACTGCTGAGCGCACTTCTGTTCCAGGCGTCTCACAGAAACGGAACAGCGAGGCTAATTGTTTGGCGCGGGCGCACCTCGCACTGTTGCACGGGCAATCCGCGATCGCCCAAGTGCAGCGGGTTCGCGCGAGGGAGAGGCCCGCCCACAAGCGGCGGCTGAGGGGCCCATGGCTAGGCGGACGGAGCCGTCAATGCCGTCCCACTATAGGGAGAACGGCAAGGCTCGAGCATCGTGTTTTCTCCCAGCGGTTGCCGGACGCGGTGTCCTTGTCTTGACGAGTCGCGGCGCTGAGGCGCGCGGCTGCGGACAGCCTCGCGGTTTTCGACGCATGCGGCGCCGACCAATCAGGGGAAGCGGTGCCCGGCCCGCGGCCAATCATCGCCGGGTCGTTTTGTGAAGGGCGCCGCGTGATGCGCGGTCTTGTGCGCGGCGTGCTCAGCGAGGGGGTGCGAATGGAAGCTTCGTCCTAGCATCCCTGGGCCTTGAGCGAGCATGCGCATGCCAGACGCACTCTGAGTTGTCACTGAATTATTCTTGTGTTCGTGCCACCTCTTTTCTCTTTCCCTGTTTCTTGTTCCTCCTGTGCGATGTTATCGCTGCGTGTTCATTTTTTGGTGCGCTTTCTTCTTCTCGCAGGCCGAAAGCCGTGTCCGGCGGACGCGGCCGAAACTCGAGTCGCCCATCGTTCCCGATTTACACGTTGAGGCTATGAGCGGTGAAGTATACGCAGCGTGCAATAGCGCCGGCATGGCCACGGAGCGCGAAACGGCACGGTCAAAGCACCGTAACTTTTTGGGCTCAAGAATCGAGGCGCCAGCGTGCCTCGGCCGAAAATGGTAAGAACTTATTGGTCCATCTGCTAGCGTTGCGCAGCCGTCGCCTGGCAGATCGGCCAATCACAACTGCATGCCAACAGCCACTAGTTGACTGCAGTACCTAGCCAGTCAAGGGATGTGTCTCATCGCAGCCGACGCGAGCATCGCGGCGACCTATCTGCACGAGGCGACCTACGCCGCTGTGCAGAAGATCAACCAGGTCGTCTGAACCGCCCACAAGGTGGCAGAGATCTGGATCACCGACCGACCTCTGCGAGATCCAGTGTTCGTCACCTCGCACGACGCTGCCTGGGCTGTTCGACGGGGCGGCAAATCCCAGGTGGGGTTCATTCTGGTCGTGGCCTGGCGACGTATTCTGGATGGCGAACGCTTTCCAGCTTTCCCGTTGCTGATGGTTTCCAAGAAGTGCCCCAGAACGACCCGCGCCAGCCTGGGCTGCGAGGTCCAGAGAAGAAAGGTGTCAGATGAGGAGCCTATCTACTTACACTTGGCATTCCTGGATATCGGCCAGGTGGTCCCACGCGCTATCCCTACCGAGCTGGAGAAGAATGCGGCTGCCATGGTCGCGGACTGCAAGGGGCTCTACGACGCGCCGGTGACCGACGTGAGTGCGTGCTTGGGAGCTGATGCGTCAGAGTCGGATCGAGGCCCCCGGTCTACGACAGAGTGTCGCATCCAGCAAGACGACCGTGATATGGATGCACTCAGCGGCGATGCCCGCCGATGGCTTGACGAAGGGCAGTGCTGAAGCGCGCAGTGATGATCGACTTCCTGGCCCGAGTGCACTGGGGACTGACGACGACTCGTTCGGGTCAGCCAAGAAGCGCATGGCAGCTGGGCGTCGCGACGTCCTATGCGACGGGGCGCTCAGGGACTGCCAGCCCGCCGCGTACCAGGAGGACGAGGAAGAGGAGATGCATGCCATAAATTTGACCCTGAACGATTTCGGACACCACCCGGTCTATGAGTTCGAGGATGCAGGCGACTTCCGCGTGTGAAAGGTAGCGGCGTCCCAGAGCTTATGGCTTCATTTTCTTTGTTCTTGCCTCTCTCTCTCTCTTTTTTCTCTTTCTCTTTCTCTTTCTTTCTCTCTCTCTCTCTCTCTATATATATATATATATTGTTTTGTTCTCTCTCTCTCTCTCTTTCTTTCTCTCTCTCTCTCGCGTTCGCGCGGGTGCTCGGGTGTGCGCCTCGGCCATTTCAGCGCAGGCTGCCGTGTACAAGTGCGCGCTCGGAGTCGCCGAAATACATTGATTTGGACGCGTGGACTGGGTGGGCCAAGGAGGGGCCAGCGCGGCCGCTCGCCGTCGGGGTGGGCAGCAAGCGGCGCGCCGTGGCCAGCCAGAACTGCGGGCGAAGCCAGTGGCCCCCGCTGCCGGGGTGGACAGGGTGGGCCAGGACATAGCACCTAATGTGTGCAAGAAGGCGGGCGGGGAGCAGAGCGCAGGGGCAGCGCGCCGCCAGTGGGGGCGGCGCGCCGCCGAAGGGCGGTATGCGGACGGGAGCGGGGTGGGGAGGACCAAGAGAAAGCCACGCGCCACCGGAATGGCGGGCGCGCGGCTAGGTGGTGGTCCGCCAGTGGCTCAGGAGTGAATGCCGTCAGTCGAAGTTAGCGTCTTCGGGGTCGCGTCCATACGCTGACGCGGGTGGGCCCGTCCGGGCGGCAGACCAGGGTGCGCGTCGAGACTACGGTGGGCGGGGGTTGGGAAGGCGCTGCCTGAACTGGTCGTTGTTAGGCCAGGTGGGGTCAGCGCGCCGCTTGTTTTTTTTCCGTTGGGTCCTGGCCAACACACATTCACGCGCGCACGCGCGCACGCACGCACGCCCACACAAACACACACAGTCACACACGCACACAAACAGACAAACAAATACAACAAGCAAACAACGCACACACTCATATTCATATTCACACTCACATTCATACTCGCACCCACACTCACACTCACACTCACCCGCGCACGCACACGCACTTTCACATGCGCACACATGCACACACAAATACACACACAGACACGCACAGACACACACACACAGACACACAGACATACACACCCACACACACACACCCACACAGACGAACGAACACACACTCTTACACACATACACGCATACTCACCCATACTCTCACACATACCACCTCCACACATACACATACACATACACAAACACATACACATACACATACATGCATACATACATACATACATACACACATACATACATACATACATACATACATACATACATACATACACACATACACTTACACATACACCCATTTACACATACACACATACACGTATACACGCCTAAACACATACACATACAGGCACCCGTACACACAGACACATACACACATTGACGCATACACGCATACACACATACACACATATATCCATATTCATACCTACACATACACATACACAAATATGCACATATATGCATACACGTATACGTTCACAGTCACATTCACATACACATACACGCTCACATACACATACACACAAGCACACATACTAATATAAACAAACGTAAGTCCATACTTTAATACATGCATGCGTACATGCATGCTTGCGTACATACATATACATCAATACGTTCATACATTTGAGCATTTTCATTCACACATGCATACATACATCCGTACCTACCGAACTGCTTACTTACGTACCTACCTACATACATGCATGCCTGCCTACCTACTTACACACCCAATTTTCCGACTCCGACGCTCGTCTCTCCGACTTTGGCTCCCAGCTTTCCGACTCCGGCAGCTTTTTTCCGAATCCACACCAGCCTTCCGACTCCAGCGTCCAAGTTTCCGACTCCAGCTCCCTACTATATTATTTCGGCCGAGTTCCGAGTTCAGACCTGCGACGCCCAGGCGCACCCGCCGTTCCCTACAAGGGACGCCCTCTGGGCGGCATCGGCGCCGCTCCGCCGCTCCGCTCTGCTCCGCTCCTACATACATGCATACATACATACATCCACACACATCCAACACGCACACACACACACATCCACCATACACACACACGCGCGCACCTTCGCGCGCGCAGCACACGCGCACGCGCACACGCGTGCACACACGCTCGCGCCCGTCCATTCATCGCGCGCGCTGTGTGCCGAGACTCCAGGGGACCTTCCCGCGCTTCGGCAACGTTCCGTCCCGCCCCCGTTCCCAGCAGGCGGTGCCGCTGGGTCTGGGCCTGGGCCTCCGCCTTTTCCTCTCCCGCGTCCTCGTCCATGTCGTCCTTGTCGTCCTCCTCCCACCTGCTCCCCCTCCGTGGGTGAGGGGCGGGAGGCGGAGGAGGAGGCGGACGAGGAGGGGTGCAGGAATGGGGGGCGACGCCCCTGCTGCATCCTCTTCCTGCCCTTCTTCCCCCTCCACCCATTGCAGGTAGAAAAAGCAGGAATCAGGCTGAGGGGAGGGGGGGAGGGGATGAGGAACATTCCCGTCCTTCATTCTAGCCTCTTCTCGGTCTCCTCCTATACCTCAACCCTGGCTCATCTTCATCCTTGTCATCCTGCTCCTCCCTCTCTCTTCTCCTCCTCTCCCTCCTCCTCCTCCTCCTCATCGACTTGATTACTCCTCCAGCCCCCCCGAGACCCCCCCCTCTCCTCCCCTCCTCAACATCCACCTCCTCCCCTCCTTTCCTTTCGTCTCCTCCGCATCCACACCCGCTCTCCTTGCCTCACCGCCCTCTCGCCCTTTCCCTGCCTGCCGCCCCGAGAGACCTGGGCCCCCGCACCCAGAAGGACACCGTGGAGATATCCTCCAAGAATGGTACCGTTGAGTCGCAGCTGTCGGACGACACCCCGATGGACAATTTCGTCAAGTTGACGGAGGAGCACAGGCGACGACCAGAGCGAGGAGAAGGAAGGACGGATTGCGTGAGTGAGTGAGTGAGTGAGTGAGGAGGAGGAGCAGGAGGAGGAGGGGTAGGAGGAGACGGAGGAGTGAGGAGGACGAGAGTGAGCAGGATGGGGCAGAGGGGACATGTATACGAGGGTGTAGGTGGAGATGGAGAACGTTTGGGATACAGGTGATTAAGAAGGTGTAGGTGGATGCTTATGATGATGTTGATGATGATGCTGCTGATGATGCTGCTGATGATGCTGATGACGATGCTGACAGTGATGCTGCTGCTGCTGCTGCTGCTGATGATGATGATGATGATGATGCTGATGATGATGATGATGATGATGATGATGATGCTGATGCTGATGATGATGATGATGATGATGCTGATGATGATGATGATGATACTGATACTGATACTGATATTGATGATAATTTTGCTGAGGATGCTGAGGTGGATGATGCTGCCGATGATAATGATGCTGATGATGCGGATGTTGAGGATGTTGGTGATACTGGTGTTGATGATGATGATAAGGTTGATGATGATAATGATGACGCTGATGTCGATGCTGATGATGTTCATGCAGCTGATGCTGATGATGGTTATGATATTGTGGATAATGATAATGATAAACTTTCTGATGCTGCTGATGATGATTATGATGCTGATGCTGATGCTGATGCTGATGCTGATGCTGATGATGATGATGATGATGATGATGCTGATGATGATGATGAAGATGCTGATGATGCTGCTGATGATGATGAAGATGCTGACGAGGAGGAGTGAATCAGTGGAAGAAGGAGTTGACAGATGGACGGAAGCAGATGATACTGAGGCAGAAGGAGGGGGGAAGGGTGAGCGACGAGGGGGGGGAGGACGAAAAATATGAGGAATGCGACCAGGACGAAGGGAGAGAGACGGGATGGCAGGATGAGTTTTTTCCTCCTTTCTCTGGAAGCCAAATAGCCACGCCCTCGGTTGACGCAGGCAATTTCAAAACTGTCAGCGCTCATCGCACTGAGCCCGCTTGACTTTTTCTGGCGATGTGGGTGTTGCACACTGATGTTTGACGCAGTCGGAAACGGAGGTGTCGTTCGATGGCAGGTGGTTGGTGGTGGCAAGTCCTGATGAGGATGGCCGGACAAACGCCGCAACGCTGGAGACGAACAGGGCCAGGTGTGCCCGAGAAAGTTGGCAGATTCAGTCCTAGACCAAAGGGTGCGCGACAAAAGCTTCAACACGGGCGCGCATTATGTCTTGTTTCTTGCAGTGATGTGGTTATGTTTGGCAAACTGTTTGGTGAGGATGGGGAGGTGGTGGACGATGAGGGTGGGGTGGAGGACGAGGATGCGAGGCGGTTGGACGAGGAAGGGGACAGGAAAGGGGCTGGTGGAGGACACGCAGGAGCATCAGTTAGGCTGGAAAGCTTGGACGAAACAGAGGTCCCCGCCGAACATCCTTGCCGCAACATGGTCATCAATGCTGGCAGATGGAGGGCGCTCGCGTGCGCGCGCGGCGACGAACATGTGCCGCGCACGGACGGAGCGTTCAGGATTCCCTCGCGGCGCTTCGGCGATGGCACCGTGCCGCCCCGTCGCACGCAACCAAGTTTCCGGTGGGCCTGGCGAAGGCAAACCATGCGCAGGGTCAAAGCGCAACCGCAATCTCCATGCATAGTCTGCGGCGTTCTCGCGGGAGCGCCAGAGCGCGAGTTCGCTCCGCCTCCGCTTCCGACGATATGGATGAGCAACATACACATTGCGGCCCGGCCAAGCGGGACATCCGTTTTATGAAGGATGAATGTAGGTCTGGGGGCGAGGGCGGCATTGAAATCCATCGCGCGTGATATAGTCAGCGTCCTACCGCCGCCACGCATTTACAATGTCGGCGACAGATGTTCCAGATCGGCAGCATGACGCCATCGAGTGTGTATTGTTCTTCTGGGCAGCATGGAGGATGGGGCGACGACAACAATGACGGTGACGGCACAGAAGGAACGTCGTGGAACAGTTAGGACCAGGTAGGCGCGGAGGAGAGACGAGGCAGGAACAAATAAGGAGGAAGGGGAGGAGGAGGAGGAGGAGGAGGAGGAGGAGGAGGAGGAGGAGGAGGAGGAGGAGGAGGAGGAGGAGGAGGAGGAGGAGGAGGAGGAGGGGAGGGGGAGGAGGAGGAGGAGGGGAGGAGAGGAGGAGGAGGAGGAGGAGGAGGAGGAGACGGAGGAGGAGGAGGAGGAGGCGGTGGCGGCGGCGGAACTGCGTATGGACTCCGTGCAACCTGGAGTCAGGCAGAGTGATCGAGTCGTTCCCCGATCTTCTGAAGGCTTTGGCCCCAGGCCTAGGGAAGCGGATTCGCCCGAGCGTGCCCGGCCAAGCACGCCAAGGGGAGCGGCGGGCTCAACCGAGGCACCGGGCGCACCTCGCGCCTGCTCCTCGTCCAAATCGAGGCCGAGCTCCGTGAAGAAGTCCTGGGCCTTCCTCTCCAAGGCCCCCCGGGGGGCCTGGCCGAAGTACTGCTTGCATTTCATACCCCGGAGGTGCTTAATCACGATGTTCTCTAGATTGACATATTCGGGTGCACACGAATGAAAATCTTCATCTGGTTGGAACTGTGCATCTTCTGCAGCTTGCAACATGGGACGGCTTTTTGGAGATCTTCGCTCGCATGCCCGCCTCTGGATTCAGAGGGCGGCGGGTGGCCCGCGAGGAAGGTCTTGATCTTGTCAATGTCTCCCGGTTCAAGTTGCTCCGACGTGGTCGCCTCGATCAGCAACGCTATGAACGCCCATGGGTCAGGGCCGCCTTCGTCGTGCCCACTCTTGCCCTTCGTCCAGTCGGCGTGAATCTTGTAAGCCTTCTTGACCCCCTGCGCTGCCACGCTGTCCGTCGCAACCCTGAAGCAGATGAACACGACTGCCATGAGCATGCGGACTTCCTGCTTCGTCTGGAGGCTCAGCTTCACGAGGATGGACAGTAGTTGCCGGATCTTGTCCGAGTCGGTGGAGCCCTTTGCGCCCCGCTTCTTTCGCGGGGGTTCAGCAGTACCTCCGCTCAATAATGCCGTCCATGCCGCGTCTGCCATGCTACTCGTCTGGGAACTCACCCAGATCGATATATAATGTTTCAGGTAAGTGCGATTGCAAATGCCACAACAGCGTAGTGGCAGACTCGAACACAACATCGCAGATTCGGCAAGAGTAAGGAGGAGGAACAATGATCTCATGACAAATTGCGCTCCCTCTGTCCCACTGGGGATCGCAGAAGCCTCGCTGCAGACTCCTTCGCAGATGGTGTCTCGTGATGTTGACAGACGAATGTATGGCCCGGCACGCACAACATGGATTAACACGGGCCACCGCCGCAGCAAGTGTGGCGAAATCGTGTCCTCCTCCCAGCGGAGAGTGTATCCGGTGCATCCGCATTGCCAGTTTACTCCGAAAGCGACGACCACACACGGCACCATCGTCACACTCGAGTCGACATTCCCACTCCTCCTCCCCGCCCTCCCTCAATACCGGACCGCCATCCGCCCGCTGATCCTCTGGCCTGTACTCCTGCTCCTGAACGAGGTGTTGTTGCTGCAAGTGAGGGGCTGGAGGGGAGGAAGAACGAGGTCCCCCTTCAAAATAAACAACCTCTGATGACAATATTCCCAAATCCTGTTATAACATCTCTGCTCGACAAACGGGCGATTGGAATAGGCGCAACGGTCGGTCGGCACACTCCGAAAGGCGATTGCTTCCCGAAGCGAACGCGAGGGCCTGGATATCCTGGGCCAACTGTAATGCCCACCTGTGCGCTGCAGCATGCATCTTGCCATGGCCATCGAGCGTAGGTTTGGCGTCCCTGGGCAGGAGGAGGAGGAGGATGAGGAACAGGAGGAGGAGGACGACGAGGAGGAGGAGGAGGAAGTGGAGGAGGAGGAGGAGGACGAAATTTGGGAGGAGGAAGCATCATAATTATATTAGTATTACTAAGAGGTGGTAACGTACAAATGATAATAATACGGAGGATGGTGTCAATGATGGGAATACTAATTCGAATAACGAGAGTAGTACTAGCATATCAAGACGGTTCATACATAATAACAATACTCGTAATGACAATAAGAGTAAGAATCATAAGACGACTCATACGTATACTACATATTCTAATAGCACTAATAATTATGCGACGCATACTACTAAGACGAAACATGATGATACAACTACTACTAGTAATACTACCACTAATATCATTCATATGATTGGTACTATTCAGAGTAATCGTATCAATCACTGTAATAATGGTACAACGTAGCACCTTCAATACTCATCATCGTAATCTAATGCGCAGAATGCGAATAACAATAACCACACCAATACTAGTCCTACTAATAATACTGATGGTGCTGCTGATGATGATGCTGATGCTGATGATGGTGATGATGATGGTGGTGCGGATCCTGGTGATGATGACGATGATGCTAATAATAAAAAATAATAACGGTGATACCAATGTGAATGATGATAATTCCAATGATCGGAATCGCATTGTTATTAGTACCACCAAAAGACATCACTAATACTACTAATACTACGACGAATGATACGAACACGCTAATGACACGAACAAAACTACTGACAATACTATACTCGTAATACTCATAATAATAATCACACTAATACTAATACTAACCATTAATATAACAAGTATGAATGCTAGTTTATTTATCAGAAAAGTAGTCCTGCTCCTACTAAGAGGAGGAGGAGGAGGAGGAGGAGGAGGAGGAGGAGGAGGAGGAGGAGGAGGAGGAGGAGGAGGAGAACAAGGAGTAAGAGGATGATGATGATGAGGAGGAGGAGGAGGAGGAGGAGGAGGAAGAGCATGAGGAGGGGGACGAGGTGGAGGAGGAGGAGGAGGAGCAGGAGGAGGACGGATGAGGCATGGGAGGAGGAGGAGGAAGATGGAGATGGGAGATGGGAGAGGAGAGGAGAGGTACGGGGGGGCCAGCGGGGAGGAGAGGGGAGAGGCGGAGAAGCAGGAGGAGGAGGGAGGAGGGAGCACCAGGAGGAGGGAGAAGGCAAGACCAGGAGGAGGAGGAGGGAGGAGAGAGGACCAGTAGGAGAGGGGAGGAGCGAGGAGGGAGAGAGGAGGGAGGACCAGGAGGAGGGAGAGAGGAGGGAAGAGGAGGGAGGAGGGAGGTCCAGGAGGAGGGAGGAGGGAGGAGCAGTAGCAAGAGGAGGCCCACGATCTGCGACGAGAGCGATCGACGACCAACGGGACGACGACGACCGCAGGCGGGACCGTCAGCGCAGGCTCGACGCCGGCGACGAGACGGCCCAGCTCAAGTTCACGCGGCCCACGCCCGCTGCGCCCTCGCAGCAACAGGGCGGCAGGGGCAAGGGCAAGGGCAAGGACCCGCCTTCTGCTGCCGGTGGGCATGAAATGGATGACGAAGACTATGCGGTACTCCGAATTTCAGCATAGAAGGGAGGTGGTCTGACTTGGGGGGGGTCTGATTACGGCTGTCTTGGAGGCTTCCTGGGGGTTGGGCAAAAGGCTGCCTTTTCATGGCTGGTCTGGGGAGGGTCTAAAACTGCTCGTCTGGGGGGGGTGTGACCCCTGCCTTTCATTACAAACTTTGGAGCAGGTTCGCGTCGTGTCGACCGGCGACGACCCCGCCGCCATCGTTCAGCATTGAACTCCGCTGGCGATCCTGAATTGGTAGATGCTGAGTGACTTGACGTTTTGGAAACAGCCGATCGTTCAATTTTGAGCCATCCCCGCGGTGTCAGGAACCGACGCCACGGTCGGCACGACACGAACTCGCGGTTTGAGATCCAATCGCAGCGTGGATTCAAAGGATGACATGTATGCAACGGATGACGGCGCCACGGATGCATAGGATGACGTTGGCATGACGCAAATACTTACAAAGGGTATCCAAATGATGATAATGCAAGGTATGCGTAGGATGGCGTTGGCAGGATGCAGAGGATGACGAAAGGTACGTGTGCAAAGGATGGCGGCGAGGATCCATATTGCCTGGATCCACATTTTGTTCCGGAAGACTCGGTCCGCCACCTGGCATCTGATGGAGCATGGCGTGTTGCGTTGCCTGGTCCCTGCGTCGTGCAGGCACGAGGCTCGCTGTCTCTCTTTCTCTCTCTCTCCTTCTCCCACCCCTCTCCTGCCCCCTCCTTCGAACAATCAAAACATCGCATGAGCATGCGCCGTCAGTGATCTGCGCGGTCTTCTTGGGTGGTGCTGGACCCCTTTCCCCGGCGCCTGGAGCGCGCCAGTGGCGGAGCGGGTGGCGCCGCCAGGGGTGTCCAGCTCCGACCCCCCGAAAAAACGCGGACCTCTGGAAGTTTACGTTGACGCAGTTTTCTTCCCTCCTCCCGAACAAACGCGGACCTCTGGAAGTTTACGTTGACGAAGTTTTCTTCCCTCCTCTCTTCCCTCCCTGTTTTGACCGGCCCTTCGTTCCCCTCCTTCGGAGGAGGGCTGGTCGTGAAAAGCGGTGGCCCTCCCCGGCGTTTTCAGCAGCTGCTGGGGCCTCCCGGGGGCCTGCTCGGCGGGAGGAAGAGTCACACCTCTGCGCACCCAGGTCGGGCAAATGGTGTGGCCGGTAAACGGTGTTGTCTCTGGATTTTGGTCTCTGTGACAGTCCATTTCCGATGCTCCAGGCCTCCCAAATGAGGTTCGAGTGTGTGGGGTCGGAGGATCGCGCCGCATCGCTGATGCGTCGGCGATGGGGCTCGGTGTGGAGCCCGATTCCCTCCACGCCGACGTCTTCGAGGCATCGCCGATGCATCAGGGATGCATCGGCGATGCGGCGCGATCCTCCGACCCCATCTACTCGGAACCATCTGGGAGGCCTGGACCTGCTACGACTTAGAGAGGAGGAGGAGGAGGAGGAGGAGGAGGAGGAGGAGGAGGAGGAGGAGGAGGAGGAGGAGGAGGAGAAGGAGGAGGAGGAGGAGGAAGAGGAGGGTTTCATGTTTTCGGTGCTCGTTCCTCTCTCTACCAACAAGCGAGCAACAACAAGCGCATGCAGAGGCACATACCAACCTCGGGCACAGTGCCGTGGCGCACCGCGCCGTCACGAGCCGCACCGTCTGCCGGCAGTTGTGGCCTGGGCTGAGTCTCGGATGCCAACTGCAACCGCTTGCAGCCAAGGGTTCTCTGCTCGGGCGACGAAATCTATACATATCCACTGCTCCCTGATCATGCCCATCTTGAATCCAGGAGCTGTGTATGCGCCCTCCTGGCCAAGCCAGGAGGGCGTGGCGTACACACCGCTGCGGGGTTGAGGATGGGCCTGGCCAGGGAGCAGTGGATATGTATAGAGTTCGTCGCCCTATCTGCCTACGTCGGATGTAACTCCTGGGAGTTTCAGTTCAGCATCGGCGCTGATGTATCCATGGTCGAAAACTTGCCCAATCCAGAAGCAGCTTTGAGTCCAGCTTACTCTGGTTCTGGCTCTATCCGGGCGTAATGTGGGCTCATCCGGCTCAGTGGTCCTTCATCGAGCCTAATTGTTTGTTCGAGGACCGCAACATGCCCATGGAACGAAGTTCGCAAGCGCCACCGCGCACAGTGTAGTCAGGACGCGCGCCTTTATCCAGGGTGCCATTGTGTCCTTGCCTCTTCTGCCCGTCCTTTGCCGTTTTCACTGGTCGCCCGCCACCCCAAAAATCCCAACTTCGGCCTCCAAGGGTCTTGCGTCCTTCCCCCCCTGTCCTTAGTACACGTTTTGACTGCAGTCGTTCTTGACGAGCTTCCAGGAGCTGCATCCTGACTCACACCGTTGCTCCGTTCCGCGCCAGGCCAGGCCCGGACAGCCAGCCGCTCCAATGTGTTTTCGATGCGTGGGCACCCGGAGGTCTGGACCACTTCCCCAGGAACGGTGTTTCAGCCCGAGTAGTTCTTTCAAGGGCGCCCTCGAGGGCGCGAAGGTGTTCCTGCTTCGCGCTTCGCGGTTCGGTTCCGATTCCCAATCCTCCTCTCCTCTCCTGGCGGCCGGCGCGTGCAGCGCGAAGCGCGAAGTCAGGCGCCCTTGTTTTTTCACAGTCCCAGGGCCTTGCGAGGGCCCGAGGAGGCCGAACACGGCCAAATACCTGCCGCTCTCATTTTTTGTCAAAAGTGGAGGAGAAGACGAAAGTCAAAACAAAATATGAAAGAAAGAGGACTCCCGGGAGTTGTGACTATTTATTTGTGTTTTCCTGGGCTCCTTCAGTATAGCCCAGCTTCACCCAACCGTGCTTATACTATGTTTGCGTCGCCCTCAGAGGGCGACGCGCGGGGTCAGAAATTTGATAGTATTGGCTCGGTGGCGGGCAATTTCTGGCCATACCGCTGGGCTTACGACTCTCCGCAAGATGGTTGTATTCCGATGACTTGGTCGGACGCACGCCTCCAAGGAGGACTCATAGTGCAAGTATGCCCTCCTGCGTCCCATATATGGCGGCGAGCCGGGGGGGGAAGTGAGAAGGGGCGGGCCTTCTCAGAAGGCTCGGAAGTCCTCTGGCCTTCTGGGAAGTTTTCTAAGCCTTCCCCGAAGACACGAGAAGCTTCTTAGAAGGCCGGCAGGCTTCTGAGAAGTCCTGCCGCCTTCTGAGAAGGCCTTTCTCTTATCATTTCCCCCCTCGCTTGCCGCCGAAATAAGAGAGGGCACGCACACGGGGTGGCAGCCTGGAGAGCTGTCCAGAGATTGCTGGCTCGGAGCAGGTTCGAGCCGGGGGCAGGGCCAGGGGGGGGGGCGGCCTGCTCAGGCGGCGGCCTCTCGGAGGGCATCGGAGGCCTCCTCCGAGGAGGCTCCCCAGAAGGCTCCCCCTCGCTCGCTGCTGGCAGATGTGCCCTCCTGCGTCCCATACCGCTCAGGAGGGGAAACCACACGCAGACACAATTCCTCGTCGACTCCCAGGAAAACATGGGAAAGTACGAACATCCAGAAGACCTGGGAAACCATGGGGAATCCTGGGACTGTGTGTATTTACTCGGGTGTCCCTGGTCCCCTCCACCAGCTGGCGCCCCTCCCCCCAAGGACGGAGGCGCGCCGCCGCCGCGCGGAGGCGCGCCGCCGCAGCGGGCGCCGCCGGCCCCCGCGCGCGACGACCGGAGGCCTCCGCCGCCCCGAGGCGGCCCCGCCGTGCGCCGCCTGCCGCGCTCGCCGCGGATCGGCGCCCGTCGGCGGCTACGCAGAGGGTGTCTATATGGGCGGCGAGCGAGGGGGGGGGGCAGCAGTGAGGAGGAGACGGCCTCCTCGGAAGTCTCGGAAATCCCCCGGCCTTCTGAGAAGCTTCCTGAGCCTTCCCCAGAGACAGCAGAAACGGTTCAGAAGGCGCGAGGGTTTCTGAGAAGTCCCGCCGCCTTCTGGGAATGCCTTCTCCTTTTTACTTCCCTCCCTCGTACGCCGCCAGGTTTATCCGGGCGGGGGCCGGGGGGGAAATCAACGCGAGCGAGGGCGGAAAGGCGAAAGAGAAGGCCCTCTCAGAATCTGCCGCTGGTCGGTTGCCGCTAACAGCGCCTACGGATCAGCGGCAATTAGCCACGCGCCATTTGCCGGTATCTCCTTCTCGTCCGCCAACACCTGTACTAAAGACAAGCCTCCCCCCACAAAAAAAAAAAATACAGCGAACCCGAGGGTGTGGTTGAGCCGGGATGTGGTTTGCGATTTGCGTCGTTGGGACTCGGGGTCACCGCGTTGCTCTCGTCGGGGCCTCCTCGCGGCGCGACGCCGCTGTGCTTCCACCAGCGTTGCGACGAAAGCGAGAAGCTCTGTGCTGCTCAACCCCGCTCCTCGCTCATCGCCCTTCTCGATCCTCCCACCTCCCTCCCCCTGTTCTTCCCGCTGCCCCGCGCCCTCGCCCCGGTTCGACGTCCGGAGTGATGCTTTCACGACCGGAGCTCCCGACCCCGCGCTGGACTTCTCGGGATGGGTCGAAGTGCGAGGGCTGCCGAGGCCTGGAGCGAGGCAGCAAGAGCATCCGTCGTGGTGCCATGACACCCCAGTGTCAGGTCCGTCGATGAAGTTGAGACAGTCAAGCTTGAGTCTAGAAACCGCGAGGATCCAGTCCGCCGGCGCCACGCACAACGGCGCCCTCAGAACTATTCCTTGGCGGCCTTCGCGGCGAAGGCCTTGACGACGACGTTGGCCGGCCTCGCTTTCGGGACCAGTCTGAGCCAAGCTGACTGGTGACGATGTGCACCGCTGCTGCGGCCAACCCCGCCGCCGCCCTCGCAGCCGCCGGCGCCGCCGCCCTCGACGCCGCCCTCGCCGCCGCCGCCGTCGTCGACTGCCGTTGCCGTCGCCAGCGTCGTCAGCCGTCGCCGTCGACGCCCGGCAGCCGTCCCCCGAGGCGGCGGCGGCGGCTACGGCGGATCGGCCTACGACCGGTCGTCTGGCGGCGGCGGGCAGAAGCGGCCCTACTCGCCGGCGCCGCTCACCCCGCCCACCTGTCTCCGCCCGCAGGGAGGGGGGAGGGGAGCGGGGAGAGGGGGGGGAGGAGAGTGGGGATGGAGCAAAGTGGGGCGCGCTCGCGCCTTCTCTGACGTCCAGTCCAAAGTTTTGGGGGGCACCCGGACGGCGAAAGTCGGATCGGGCGAACTTGGGGGGTAGGAGCGTGTGAAGTCAGCTGCATACAGACGGTTTCGGTCCTGCCGACGGGCCGTTACGATCGAGATGAGTATTCCGCATTTATATCGTAAAGAAATGGGGATCTGATTTGTTGCGGGGTCAGATTTGAGCTGTTTGGGCAAAAGGGCGTTTTTTCATGGCTTGTCGGGGGAGGTTTAAAACGAGTGGTCTGGGATGACAGTGGCCCCCGCCCTCCTACTACGAAGTGTGGAATGCGGAAAGGACCAGGACAATTACTGGAAACGGTTCACGCCATTTGAACAGGACTTGTTGTCGGTGTCGCCGCAACATTTGTCCATTGGAACCGAAAGTCGCCGCCCGCCCAACAGCGGCCGCTGTCGGTTTTTGGATCACGTTTGCTTTTTGGCATCGTATCAATTTTGCCCGTACCCGTTTTTGGCGTGCCAAAACAGAGAAGGGGGAGTGGGGAAAAAGGTAATGGGGCAAGCTAAATGCGCTCGCGTCACGTCCGGCCTCCCGCCCCTCCTGCCTCCCACCCATCCTTTCTCATGTCGCTGTTTTTTGTCGCAATCCTTCGCTGGGTGCCATAACGGACAACGGTCCCCCCAAAAACCCATCGTGTTATGCCCAACCTGGTAAGGGGAGCTGTGTTGCTTAGAGGAGGATGGGGAGGAGGAGGAGGAGGAGGAGGCGGAGGAGGAGGAGGAAGAGGAGGAGGAAAATGAGGAAGGGAGGAGGAGGAGGAGATGGAGGAGGAGGATGAAGGGGAGGCGGTGGATGATGGTGATGGTGATGGTGATGGTGCTGCTAATGATGATGGTGGTGATGATGATGATGATGCTAATGCTGCTGATGTTCATGATGAGGATGCTATGATGCTGATGCTGATGATGGTGATGATGACGAGGAGGAGGAGGTTGAGGAGGACGACGATGAGGACGGGGAGGACGAGGAGGAGGAGGACGATAAGATGTGTTGTCCTATGTGGGACAGTTTCAGTTGCTGCTGAAGACCCAGCGCAAGAAGGAACACGCGTTCCTCGCCAGTGTCTTCCAGATGCCCTGCTTCCGCTTCGACGGGAAAGGATGACATAACTTCATATCTTGGGGTGGACCTCGCGTTCCCAGCCTATGGATGACCAACCTCGCCCAGATTACCCGAGCCAGCTGGTTCACGTTTGAAGCCTGGCAACCCGATGCTGTCCCTGCTACAGGAGTCTGCAGATGCCCACCTCCCCTTCGCCACCATCTTGTTGGGGGAGAACTGGGCCGACTGAGTTTGGAGACCTCAGCTGTGGCCGCCTTTTTGAATATCCCCAGCCTTTGCAAGTACGCTGATGGAGGCCCAGAAAGGATTCCCCAATGCACGTGAACTTCAGGATCAATGTCCAAAAGCCATAGTTCAACTTAACGACTTCAACCTGACAGTCCTCATTTGCATGTAAAAGCTCTTCATCCCGAGCGTCGTCTTCTATCTTATCTTACCCCCCGCCTCCTCCCCGACCAGCTCCAGCTCCTATTCCCCAGGAGGTTATTAAAGTGGTTCCCCCGACCCTCCCACCTTATTGCCCAAATCCCCTGGTCTGGAGTCCGTTTCTGTCTCCTCTCCTCCCCCCCCCCTCCTGGCGGTTCGCCATCCTCAAAACTCTCTCTCGTGTGTGTGGGGGGATCACGGCTTCAAATTCCCAGGAATTCGAAACTTGTCCGTTCGGTTGTTCAGCTAGACGTTCCTTCGAGCGCGTATGGATTTGCCCCCGCCTCCTCCGTCTCCTCGGGGCGGCCTGCCGCTCCTCGTTCGATCCTTGCCCTATCTGGCGCCTCGGTCTCCTCCGCCCCTCCCGCTCTGCCTTTATCCGTGTCGTCCAAGCTCCCGCTCCCCGCAATATTGTTCGGACGTCGCAGGGCCCGTGCGCGTCGAGGTCGCTCGGCGCTGTCGTCAGGTTGGCCCGCCGTGAGGTGGCCGGGTCGTCGGCGGGGGGAGCCAGCTCGGGCAGGGCCGCCCTGGGTACGCTCGAGGGCGAGACGAGGCGGAGGAGGAGGAAGAGGACGAGGACAAGGTTTTTGATCAGGAAGGAGGAGGGCGAGGAGGGACGGGGGAGGGCGAGGGGGAGGTTTCTCCTCGACGAACCACAAGCGTGGATGAAGGCGCGCGGATGGGCGACGGGCCGCGCTCCAGTGCAAAGGTCGACGTTCGCCGTCGCCGACTCAGACGGCGCTGGCTTCGCCCTCGCCCGCGCGCCAACTTATGTCAGTGGGTGCCTGACTTCCTCCCCCTGCCCCTTCCACGCTGGCTTCCTAGCGTTCCTGGCGTTCTTTCCCATTCTCCCCCTTCGCCTGTAGCGTTCCTCGGGGTCCATCGACAGTTGTTCCTTGGCGTTGGAAGGCGATGGCGGCCCCCGGTGCCGCTCAGGGTTCCTCAGCGTCGCCTGGAAATGCCACGCGACGCCGCGCAAAAGGTTCCTCGGCGTTGCTTGGCAGCGACTTCTTCCTGCTCCCTCCGCCCCCTCCCCCCCGCGCGTAAAAGGAAGGGGAGAGAGGCAACGGGGGGAATCGGTTGCCGGGTCTTCGCAGGAGGAGCGGGATGCGGTTGGAAGGCGGGGAGGGAGCAGGTGAAGGAAGAGAGGGTGTGCTTACAGCGTTTCAGAAGCATTTGGGCCTTTGGGGGTTCAATAGGAAGTCTGATACGACAAGAAGGAGGCCGAGTCAGGGGTTGGAGACACGGAGGAGGAGGAGGAGGAGGAGGAGGAGGAGGAGGAGGAGGAGGAGGAGGAGGAGGAGGAGGAGGAGGAGGGAGGAGGAGGAGGAGGAGGAAGAGGAGGAGGCAGACAAGAAGGATAATCAGGACACGGAGAAGGAGGAGAGGAAAGAGGAAGAAAGGGAGGGGGAGGAGGAGCAGGATGAGGAGGACGAGGAAGAGGAGTAGGAGGAGGATGAGGAGAAGAGAAGAGAAGATACTATGATATAAGGATGAGTCGGATGATGAGGAGGAGGCGGCTGAGGGGGCGGAGGAAGAGGAGGAGGATGAGGAGGAGGAGGAGGAGGAGGAGGAAATGAGGAGGAGGAGGAGGAGTAGCAGGAGGAGGAGGACGAAGAGGCGGATGAGGATGATGATGAGGAATATGTAGGGGTAGGGGTAGAAGGAGTTGGAGCAGGAGTAGGAGGTGAAGGAGAAAGAGAGAGAGAGAGAGAGAGAGAGAGAGAAAGAGAGAGAGAGAGGAGGATGAGGTGGAAGAGGAGGACAAGGACGGGAGGATGGTGGATGGGCGGGAGGAAGAACGAGAGAGGGAACGTGAGGGAGACGAAGAGAGAGAGAGAAAGAGAGAGAGAGAGGGGGAGAGAGAACAAGAGAAATAACATAGAAGAGGGAACTGTCCCATGGGCCCATGGGGAAAGGGGGGAGCACTGAGATGTTGGGCTTTCATCGCCGTTTTCTTCTTGCTCCTCCTCATCATCATCATTTTCCCCATCCTGCTCCTACTCGTCGTCCTCATCCATTATGCTCCTCCCCCTCGCGTTGTTTCTTTTATTTTCTTCCCAGTCCTCACTCCCCTTATCTTCGTTCCCCCTACTACTGCTGTTCCGCCTGCCCCGCCACCCTTGGGAGCAACAGGCAGGAGCAGGGATATGAACAGGAAGAGAAGGAGGGGAACGGGGATGGGGGAAACGAGGAGGTTCAAGGGGGACCAGGGGGAGGTGGAGGAAAAGGAGGAGGAGGAGGACGAGGAGGACAAACAGGAGGAGAAGGAGGAGGAGGACGTCGACGAAAAGGGGCAGAAGGAGGAAGGCTGACGAGCAGGAAGCGGCGAGTAGTAGGAACGGGGGAGGGGGAGTAGTCGGATGAGGAGGGCGGATCAGCCACAGCAGGAGCAGCAGCAAAAGGAGGAACAGGAGCAGGAGGCGCAGGAGAAGGCCACCCTCCTCCTCCTCATCTTCCTCCTCGTTCTGCCCCTATCGTTTCGTCCTCTCCCGCTCCCCTCTCGCCTTCCCCCCCCGCCCTGTCGCCTCCTCGCGACCATCGTCGTCAGGGCCGCCGAAGGTGTCGTCGGCATCGGCGCCGCCGACGGCGGCGTCGTCGTCGTCGTCGTCGTCGTCGGTGGTGCCGGCGGCGTCGTTGTCTTCGGAGGCGTCGACGGCGGTACTGTCGTCGTCGGTGCCAGCGCTGGCGCCGTCGGCGGCGTCGGCTGCGGCGTCGTCGTCGGCCTCAGCGTCGCTCGCCGCCCGTCGTCGTCTCAGGCGCCGCCTTCCTATGGCTCCGGCGGCTACAGCCGCGGGGGCCGGGACGCCTACGGCGGCCAGCCAGCCCCGGCCCACCGTGACCGCGGCGGCGGCGGCTACTCGGGAGGCTTTTCCGTCGTCGTCGCTGCCGCGGTCGTCGTCGTCGCTGACGCGGCCCAGCGGCGACACAACGTCGCGGAGGAGGGGACGAGGGGAAAGAAGAGGAGCAGAAGGCACAGCGGGAGGAGGGGGGACGTTGCGCCGAAGTTGGACGGTCGTGGGACCGGTAGCGGGTCCTGCGGTGCAGCTATTGGTAATGGGTCCTTGCGCCTCCTGCGCGCCGCCGCCGCCGCCGCCGCCTTCGTCGGCTTCGTCCTTTTTTGTTGTTGTCGTCATCGTCGCGATCCTCCTCTCTTCCTCCTCTTCCTCTTTTCCTCGAATTTTCTAGCGGACATCGCCTGGACCTTGTACCGCTCGGCGTCGCCCTGGCCATTCAGGTTGTCGCCAGTGTCTAGCGTGAGGTGCCGTACGGAGCGTGGGTGTGCCGTTTAATGCCGCTGGTTGCGGCGCTGGGGCCAAGGATTCGCTGTGGCTGGTTGTCGAAAACGCGTCTGCTTTGGGGCACCGTTGCGTAACACATGCAGACAGCGCCGCACAGGCACGTCCGGCAGTTGCGTTCCAAACGGCACGCGTTACTCCCCTCATCTTCCAGATCCATTCCTCCCTCTTCTTGCCTCCTTCCTCCTCGTTCAGGTCCTCTCCGTTTTTGCTCCTCCTCCCATCTCGTTCTCCCCATCCCCGTCGCCGTCCCATCGTCCCGTCGTGCCATTGTCGCCGTTCCATTCAGAGGCCAACAAAAGATGTACAGGTATGTACGCGTTTAGCTTCCGCTGGAGTGCGTCTGAACGCGGACATTCATGCACGCAAGACCGCTGAGGGCGTACACGTACTCATGTCGATGCTCGCTCACTCATTTGCTCCTCGATCCCCCATCTCCTCCTCCGGGTCGCCATCGTTTTCCGCCTCTTCACTCCTCTCCCCCTCTCCCCCTCCTCTCTCTTCCCCGCCCCCTCAAATCTATGGAAGGCTTCCGCGCACCTTCTAGAACCGCCGCTAGCTCGTGAATTCCCCCGCAAAGCAAATGACGACTTCCCCAATCCGCCGAACACTAACGAACACTGCCTTTGCTCCTCCTCCTCCGCCCTTCTAGACCAGCCGCACTTGGGGGAGCTGTGACCTTTGCCATCCTAGGAGGCCCATCGGTACGAAGAGATCGAATAACTTACGTAGAGCTCCCCCAGGGGATTTTTGGCCGGGCGATCTCCAAACTGCTCCTGGCCCAAGGCGTCCCAACGACTGCCAGGGAAGCCCCGAAGGCCTTCGGAGCGCCCCAGGACCCCTAAAATGAAATGGTGCAAATCGGCAGTATATGGACTTGAATCGAGGATTGCAGGCCACATTTAAGGGGCCCGAGGCAAAAAGGGCATCTGAGCCTGCACCGCGGGCCCAAGAGATGGTGGAACAACTTCCACTTCTCCCCCCCAGTTTATTCCCACCCTCCAACGAGCGAGAGGTCGCTCACCAGTGAAAGGGCTTTTCACTGGGTGGAAATACGGCACCTTGTCAAAGTATCAGCGCTCTTCTGTAGTAGTAGTAGTAGTAGTAGTAGTAGTAGTAGTAGTAGTAGTAGTAGTAGTAGTAGTAGTAGTGGTAGTAGTAGAAGTAGTAGTAGTTGTAGTATTAGTAGTCGTAGTAGTAGTCGTAGTAGTCGTAGTAGTAGTCGTAGTCGTAGTCGTAGTCGTAGTCGTAGTCGTATTAGTCGTAGTCGTAGTAGTATTAGCCGTAATAGTCGACGTCGTAGTAGTAGTAGTAGTAGTAGTAGTAGTAGTAGTAGTAGTAGTAGTAGTAGTAGTAGTAGTGGTAGTGGTAGTAGTAGTAGCAGTAGTAGTAGTAGT